AAAAAAAAAAAAAAATCCTATTCCTCCCCCCGTGATCCTATTCCGCGGCCCTTCCCCCCTTAGGAACCCTACTTCGCGATCCTACATGAATCCCACGGACCCCCCTCTCCCCGGGAAAACCCCCCTTGGGAAACCCTATTCCGCGACACCGCGACGAACCCCACGGACCCCCCTCTCCCTGGGAAACCTTACACCGCGATCCTTCCCAACCCCACGGACCCCCCTTTCCCTGGGAACCTCCTCCCCTAGCGAGCCACCCTCCTCCCCCCGAGCCCGTTTCTTCAGCAGCTTCTTCTGGAACAAACAAAAACATCAAGAATTACTGATATGATTTGTAACAGGGGACAAGACTGGCTACTGGGCCTTTAATTATTAGGCCCTTTGTAGAGTTAAGCAACCGTTCCATCATCATTCATTAGAGACGTATTTATCCTAACAGGAATCATGTACATGGGATTCAAGTTCGTGAAGTTCGAAGCATGAAACATAGTTCCTTTTAGCATAAATATGTCCAATACTGTCTAGTAAAATTTTTTGTCAGGGCAACATGCCTAATTGGACGTATTTCTGTCAAACGGAACTATGTGCATTACGACATGAGCCCTGAGACCCATGAGCATATATGCATAACAGGGCTCACATCATAATGCACATAGTTCCGTTTGATAGAAATACGTCCAATGTCCTGTACACTGTCTTTGGACTACACCATGTAGCTTCAACTACAATTTTGCATTCAGTTGTAGTAACTCAACTGCATAACGCAAAATAAACTAACTCTTCTGGTTCTTGTTTGTGGAACGTATGTGTTTTTTACGGTGAACCGGAAAGATCATTTCTTTTTGCGTTATGCAGTTTACTTACTTTCAATTGGATGCAATATTGTTTGATAGTAATACATGAGAACTGTACGCAGAACTGGAAAGAAATTTAAATATTTTTAAAAAAACTGCAGATGGCATTCAAGTCAAGGGCTGCACAATAGTTTTAAAATAATTATTTTTATAGATTTTATAAATGTAATCAATTAAAAATGGATTGAATAGTTCAACTATTAAAACTTTTGATAGTCTATACTATTTATATTTTACAACAAATACACATTCTGGAGGGCACTACTTCCATCCTCAGTGCGGAACATTTTCTTCGTTGTTTGCAGACCTGAAACAAACTAAGAATAAAAAAAAGAAATGATTAAATGGAGCTTAACCTAATTTGAAAACGGAAACTTAAGTGGGAAAATGTCATTGTTGATGCCAAATTTGCTCATGGCATGCGATAGTTTCCAATATTCTCTAATATGATATTAATTAATTATGTGAAATTGAATCAATTTTTCTATATTTTTGTCATGTTTTCTTTTTTCTTCGTTGTCGATTCCATGAGCAATCACTCAGGAATTTCAATGTATTTTTATATAGTTATACCAAAATCTCTGTTAATTTTAAATAATTAATGATGATTTACGATTAAAGAAAATCTGTTCAATTACAAAATTTTCACATCCCTTTGCTGTCATGCTAAGGAATAATATCGTGTGAACATTCGAGAGTCGCCAAACCCCAGATAAAACGTATATTTCTGAGAAATTATTGGTATGAATATATTTCCTCGAACTTTTCAGGAATTTTTGGTGAAATAGTGAACAAAATTATCTGTAAGATTCCAATAAAAATATTCATTAGACCGAGAAATTTGTGTTTTCTCACAGAAAATTTGGCAACGCCTGAAGGTTTATACGGCGTTTTTATTCAGCATTGCATCACGAAGGGGCACATAGCCTTTTAGAAAGCGCGATGACGATGAGTGACATCATCATCCGCATTGATGCACACCGTGGTTTTAAGTATGGTGGTTCCACAAATCATTGAAAAAAAGGATTGCAGCGGTTGGCATTCAGAATTCATACTGTAAAGGAGCATTTTTGGTGGACCTGAAACACAGTAAGAATAAAAAAAGGAATGATTAGTCAACGCTTAACCTAACATGAAAATACAAACTTAAGCCAAAAAATTGTTTTGTTCACTCTGAATGGCCTCGTCAAACTTGATACTTCCTAAAAGTACAGTAATCATCTAGTAGTAAGAAATCTGGAATTCATCAATATCATTCGGAAAATAGTGCAATATTGTTCTCTGATTTTGTCATTTTTTCTTCATCTATTGATTCCATGAGGAATTATTCAGTGTATTCTTCAGTTGTAGATTAATTAAAACTGTACGGGTACTTTCTGGTGAATCACACCATCATTTCTGTTAATTTTTACACCACTACAAATACGTCCGTATTTCTATCAAACGGAACTATGTGCATTAAGACATGAGCCCTGAGACCCATAAGAATATGTGCATAACAGGGCTCACGTCATAATGCGCATAGTTCCGTTTGATAGAAATACGTCCAAGTAATTGAACATTTAAAAAGATCCATCCAACTACCAAATTTTTACGTCCTATCGTAAGGGAGTACCATTAAAAGGAGACTGCAAGGTACTTACATAGCAATAAGGCGAGTACCTTCATCATTCAAATTAATGGACACCACCGTGATTCACCTATATTGGTACCTTTAAATCACAGATTTTCCTCTATGGTAGGACTTGGTGGACAATAGTAAAAATTGAAATAGAACAGCTGAAGTAGATAAATGAACAGCTTTCATTATGCTCGTTTTTTGCCGATCTGTTGTTGTTGTTGCAGGTTGATTGGCCTAATTCCGCTTTGCGGATAAACAGCCACTTACAAAAGTTCGGGATCTGAAAAAAATAAACAAAAATAGATTAGTTCAGGTAAATAGAGTAAAATAAAAAGTAAAATGAAATGAAGTTGAACAGTTTTCAAAGTGCTCGTCTCCTACCAGTCGGTAAAAGAGTAAAATCAATATTAGGTATTCAAAACAAAAAACCAATATAAAACAATGTGAAACTGTTTTTACTGTGTTCGTTTGTTGCCGATCTGAAAAAGAACAAAAAGAAAGACTAATATAATTAACACAGAGATGAAAATTAGCATGATATTTGAGAGAAAAATAAAAATGCTGCAAACAGGGCCGGATTTACCTATGGTGCATCGGTGCAGCTGCACAGGGCGCCAAATTTTGGGTTTTTTTTCCAAACTCTGCAAAAAATTGAGAATTGCGTCGAAAGTTCAGAAACTCTGATTGTTGATTGATTGTGTAAAAGCAATGGAGACACAGACAAGAACGGCGAGACAAGGTTGCAAGGCGGCTTGTCCCGTGTCGCGACAATACGTTTTGATTTCTGCCCCAGAATCATTCACTCACTCGAAAAATTCGTATTTAGTTAGAGTTAGCACGTAGTGACCAAAGAAAACCGTCGGTTTGGGAAATGCGCTGGCGGGGGGGGNGGGGCGTGCGAGGGGGGCGCCTCGAAAATTTCTGCACAGGGCGCCAAAAACGTAAATTCGGCCCTGGCTGCAAAGCACTTTTACTTACGATTAATACGCTGAAAGTAGCTTCCGCTCTGACCCTGTCTCTTGTCAATTAGGAAGTTAGTATGAAGCGTTTGAAGAGGAGGAAAAAATCCAATTCAAGAAAATAAGTTGAAATCTTTGCACACGGTGCTGGAAGCGCTTTCACAGACTTAGTTTCTTGCCGATCTGAAAAAAAAGAAAAATCAAGAAAGCAAAGCTAGTGAAGGTACATCTGATGTAAATTGGACGTGTTCCTGCGAAACGGAGCTATGTGTATTGTGAGCCCTGTTATGCATGTACTCTTATGAGTCTCTGGGCTCATGTCTTAATGCACATAGCTCCATTTGACAGAAACACGTCCAATTAACAGTGCAGCTCATGTGCAATTTTTTTATTTGTTAAAAATTTAGCAGGAATATTATACAGATGGCTGATTGTGACGTTTCAAATCGATGCTCATGTCTAATTTTTTTTTTTTTTTTTTTTTTTTTTTTNTTTTTTTTTTTTTTTTTTTTTTTTTTTTTTTTTTTTTTTTTTTTTTTTTTTTTTTTTTTTTTTTTTTTGCAAAAACCAATCAACAATTTTTCATGAAATTTTTGAGAACTGTCCTCTCTTTTTTGAAAATATTCATGGAAAATAAATGGAAGATAAGTCGGCTAATTTTCTCGGAAAAAGTGAAACATTATTGAATATTTAGAGATTTTCAAACGATGTAATAGTGCTACGTATTCATTAACTACAGCCATTTAATTTGATGTCATTCTCAATGCAAAACAATGATCTGAAGAGGGGAATAATATTACTCTCAGTTTAGAAAAATTGGAAAAATTACATGAATCATCATTGTCGATTTCATTGATACTTTCTTTCTTTGAAGAATAAAAGTACTCTACCGATTCATAATATTATGAAATAGGCACGACCGTGAAATAGGAAAGGAAAATAATAGGATGAACCTAATAAAATTTAAACTTTAAAAGCAAAATGTTCAAGGATAATTTACGATAACTTTACGATTCAAAAGTAGAGATTGAAAATAGAAAAATTAAATTTTAAAATTTGAAAACTAAAAATTTCAAAAACTGAATAAACATTTCAAAAACTAAATAAAAATTTCAAAAACTAAATAAAAATTTCAAAAACTAAATAAAAATTTTAAAATTTCCAAAATAAAATATTCAAAGATGAAAAATTTTAAGACTCATAAGTGGGAATTGAAAATAGAAAAAATAAATTTAAAATTTGAAAAATAAAAAGTTTCAAAAATGAAACAATACAGTTTAAATATAATGAAGATAGAAGGTATGATAAAGCTATTATCTGCTATACTCACATACTAGGAGCCTAACTCATATTGCGATTCCGCTTGCTAATTGCACTGCACCACTATACCACTGCACCATCAAACTACTGTACCACTAATCCACTAAACCACTGCCCCACTAACCCGCAGACCTGATTACCCATTGAGCCACTTCGCTCACTAAATCCACACTGATTGAACTTTAGGGGTGGGGTTGCTCTTTTATATGCTCGGTCTGTGGCCACCGCAAGCAACCCCCCAGCCTCCCCCCCTGCTGACCACTCTTGCAATTAGGATGTCATTTAGAAACTATTTCCTTGTTTTCCACTGCCGGGAAATCCGAACTTTTTGGAACAAAGGAAGGAAGGGACATTCCTTCGTAAACACCATTAGCCAGGAGTGCGCAAGGGCCTTTTGTTTTATTGAGACGACGGCACCTCACGTGTCCAAAACAATGAAAGGGAACTGCCCTGCGAGTATTTTTTTTTTCGGTCCATCATATCCCCGTGCTAATGCTAAGGGAGAAGAACGCCGTATGAACAGTTAAGCGTTGCCAAACATCCCTCTATAAAATACCAATTTATTCTTTAGGAAAGCTACGGATATTTTTCCTTGGAATATTCAGGTGTAGCGTTATTTTACGATCATAGGTGGATCCAAGGGGGGGGGGCGTAGGAGTTCTACGCCCCATCCCCGTTTGCTCGATTGTAGGGATAATAAAATCAATGATTGACTCAAGCACGTCTAGAAGACACGATCGTCACACTAAACATCCGATGCGGTGCGACGGTTGTGACAAATTTTAAACAAAAACGGCGGGTGCACTCAACAACAATGAAGTACAATTTCGAAAGTTCGTAAACTTGCAATTAGTATTAAGGACTATAAAGTGGGCACAAAGATTTTTCAGAATATCACACGCTTCATAAAATAAAGGGCGTGACGGTCGTGACGCAAAAAAAGGTTCAGTTAAGTATACTTAACTTTCAAATCGTGGTAGAATTTTCAAAATAACTTTGGGCGATTACTGCACAAGCTTGCACCATAGGAACATTTCACTTCATTTCACTTGTACACTTTCAAATCACTTTCGCAACGATTTAACCGCTCCTTGCGACCGTTTTGACAACACCTGGGACGGTCGTGACGTGAAACTTAAGGACAGCATATTTTCGAAATATTTTAGGTAGATAACAATTTTTTTTCGTAATCAAATGCATTGTTTACGCAACTGCAAGTATTTTTGATGAAATTAGTACAAAAATCAGAAAAATTTATCGGACCAAAAAAAAGTTATGAGGTTGTGAACATTGCAACCTACCAATCATGACCGTAACGGTCGTAACATTTTAATCAATAATAGCTAAGAATGAAGCTTAATCCATCAATTTACACAATTGTAATGGTTATAATTCGTTAAAAACACTCATTTTCTAGCACAGTTGGTGAAATGTGAAACTTTTTATCACACATTTTACAAATAAAACGATCTTGACTGGAATTGGACGGTTTCCGTAGAATTGCCCTTAACCAAACGCCTTTAATTTTCACGAGTAGGCAATTTCTTGAGCTTGATTCAATTAAATTACTTTTGTTTAAATAATGAAGCAAGATTGAATGCTCGGAATTTTGCAAACGAGGCTACTCGTTTTTCGACTCGTGCTACCGAAATTTAACGTCCATCAAGATTGAGACGTTCCTCAAACAAAACTTAGTTTGACAAAAATATAAAGCTCTCGTTTTTTACGGCGTATTTTACGGTGCGATGCTCACCAATGAGTTAATAATTTTACCGTTGGTTTCTTTCTCGGTGTCAGAATATACTTTTCCACGATGCGCAGGTTGAGGCGTGGAGCGAGCGAAGAAGAGAGACACCGAGTGGCGCCTGCTCAGATCACCTCTCCCAATTGGACGTATTTCTATCAGACGGAACCATGTGTATTATCAAGTGAGCCCTGTTGTGCGCACATTCTTATGGGTCTCGGGGCTCACGTCCTAATACACATAGTTCCGTTTTGCAGAAACACGTCCAATTCACCAGCTCGGTCGCCAATAGCGGCCGGCTATGATAGAACCTCGTAACCTCCTTGATATCCCCATGCAGTTGCGCGGTTTCTGCGACCGCGCCGAGAGATAGCGCCACACACATCGCGAGGAAATAATTAAATCATATTTTCATCAACTTTGCGTCTCACGCAAAACCGAGAGGTGCGTTCCTGAAATAACCGGAGGAATATGAGAATACGAGTTTCATCGAATACTCGCGCTTCAGCCGTCAAAACTTGTAGCGACGTTGCCAGACTCAACTGAAAATCGCTGAGCTTTTTTATTGATTACTGCGTCTTGTTCCCTCTATGTTCAGCAGCTTGACCCCGTACATATGTCGCAGGCAAATAGTGAAATCAGGCCAGGGCCGGATTAAGGGGGTGGCCACATGGGCCGCAGTCCACGGCGGCAAAATTAGGGGGCGGCAAATTTTGCAACTTTTTAAATGCAGGTACAAAAAAATCGGATTCAGAAAAAAATTACAAACAAGTAAAGGTGACAAAATCTCTCATTTTCTGAGAGTTCATTAATTTCTAATTTTGTTGTATTTCGGTGATACAGAAGACTACGCACCTTCAATTAGTTGAGTTAAGAGAGAAACCAAACACGCAATTTGGCCTGGAGCGGCGCGGCGGCGCAAAGAGAAATGATGACGAGGACTTGAGATGAAAAGGAGAAGCCCTCGACGCGGCGGTCGGCATGTATCACATATCAGCGCCTAAGAGACTGCATGAATACTTCACGCATTGCGTCAAACACAGTACGGTCAACAGCGGTCGGCGCGGCGTGAAACGCACAGCGCCTACAAGACTACATTAATACTTCACTCATTGCGCCAAACACAGTGCGGTCAGCGCGGCACGGCGGCGGAAGTTGAAATTATTAAACCACATTTATGTTTGTTCTTTCTTAATTTTTTAGTTCTATTCTTACAAATGAAAGGCCTTATCCCCACAGAGATAGGTTTACGGAACTGAACTTTCGCGCCAAGTTCCGTGAATTTTTGCTAGTAGTGTTGACAGGGCTTACGAAAAAAATGTGTCCAACACGAGTGAACGCGTCTTATGCACCCTTCTCCCTCCGGCACGTTCACTTGATGGTTTTTATTGATGTTTCAAAATGAATGAGACGTGGGCGGCAAAATACAGGCGGCCCACGGGTGGCAAGTAGGTAAATCCGGCCATGAATCAGGCATTTTGTCAAATGCGTAGGCAGATAGTTCAATTTTGACGGTCTAAAAAATGTTGTGAGTTAATGGCGAAGAGCTCACGAGTTTTCAATATTTTTGAGAAAATAACTCATTAAACCTACGAACTCTTTTTGTCTCTTCCTCTTCAGTTGATTTTCATATTTAAATGTTGAAATTCTAAAAATTCCGTATTTTATGACATGTTGAAAATTTCAAGATAAGTCTGTTCAGGAGCTAAAAATCGTTTAAAATACTATTATCTGATGCAAATTTTTACTGAGAATTTTTTCTTACAGGAGCAACTAATTATTTTGTCTAAAACTAGGAAAAGAATCAGAATTTCAATCTAAGTGAGAATATGTGACTATTTGCCTAGGCATTTAACAAAATACCTGATTTTACTATTTGCCTTCGACACATACACATGTGTTACGTAAGTTACTTTAGAGGAGGAGAAGAGGGTTGAGCTCGGTCCCAAAAATTCTCAATCTAAAGAATGTTAATTCTTAGAGTCCTTTCATAAAGAGAGTTAAGGCAAGTCCGCTCATGGATGTCACAAACGGGGGAAAAAATTACTCAGTTTTAACGTTAACGTAATCTTTGATAAACTCCTTCCCGAATTCCTTTCCTTCAGTCTCTCTTTCATTTCATTTGTCTACTAACGTGCCCCTACCCCTAAATGTCCGGTCCATTCCAGTATATGATCTTTGCGATCGGTGAAAATGTAATCTTTTCCCCCGCTTGACTGCAACGTAACATACCCCCCGCAACATGCTGCCATGCTAAGGAAAAACGCCGCATGAACATGCAAAAGTCGCCTTTCCTCCGATAGAATGTTTATTTTGGAAGAAAGTTATGCATATTTTCCTTGAAATTTTCAGATACTTTGCATTAGACTGCGAACAATATTGTCCGAAAAAATTGGAAGAACAATATTCACGACTTTCCCAATAAATTCTCATTTTATCAAAGGAAACTTGGCAACGCCTGAAGGCTCATACGGCGTTCTTCTGTAGCACGGCAGCATAAGTCTACATCCCCTATAAAAATTACGTAAACATAACGCATTCCTCGATCTCCATCTTCGTCAAGGAAGCGTTTCTCGATGAATTTTGGATGAAAAACGACCAATGTACGTAGATTGTTCACCTTAGATTTTAAAAAAAATCGGTGCAATGCGCCCTCTCAAGTGATACTTAACGAAGTTCTGAGTATATTTCACGCATTGCATCAAACACAGTGCCAGTGCGGTTACTGCGGTCAGCGTGAAACGGGTAGCGCCTACAAGAATGCATGAATACTTCACGCATTGCGCAAAACACAGTGCGGTCAGCGTGAAACGAATAGCGCCTACAAGGCTGCGTGAATACTTCACGCATTGCGTCAAACACAGTGCGTTCAGCAGCGGTCGTCGGCGTGAAGCTCATTGCGCCTACAAAACTCTCGGAATACTTCACGCATTGGTCCAAACACACTGCGGTCTGCGCGGCGCGGCGGCGGAAGTTAAAATCATTAAACCACATTTATGTTTGTTCTTTCATAATTTTTCCGTTCATTTCTTATGAGTGGAAGGCCTTGTTAACGCAGAGATATAGGTTTACGAAACTTAACGTTCGCGCAAGGCTCGGTGAATTTTTGATATAGTGTTGACAGGGCTTTCCCAAAAAATGTTTCCAACACGAGTAAACGCGTCTTATGCACCCCACCCCCGCTGGCATGTTCACTTGATGGTTTTTATTGATGTTTCAAAACGAATGAGAGGGGAGCGACAAAATACAGGCGGCCCATGGGCGGCAAGTAGGTAAATCCGGCCCTGATAGGCGGACGCATTTCTGGGAAAACCCTTCTGGCTATTTCAATAAATTCGATCGGTGGTACAGAAATTTTTCATTTTCTCCTGGGATTATCTTCCCTGTGGTCCTGTCCATCTAAGCAAAAAACAA